CATGATTATATTAAACACTATGAGCTGACCAGTTTTCACATGGTTTTCTGTGTGACTCCTGTCTGATCCAGTTCTTCACAAGGAAGAATAATCAAGAGTCTTTTCTATTCCCAGGGGAGAAATCCACTTGACATTTGTTGATGCCATGTCACATCCTACTATGTTTAAGTGGTTTTCAATAGCTGAGACTTCCTGAGGCAGACCTTGGCTACCATCCTGCAGAAGAGGAAGAACTTCCTCAGTCCAGAAGAGCTAACCCAGGCCCAGCACTTCAAACCAGCAAACAAGCTTACCCAGCACAATGGAGACCGCGAGTACCAATTAGGTTGCTGGTTTTTTAAATGATTTTAACATTAACTGGTTAGGACCTACTACATCTTGCAGGTCCTTGCATTCCTTCCCATTAGCAGAAGAAAGATCAGGTTCCAAGAAATACAGTAAAACAAGATCCTTTGAATTAGCAGATAGATTACCCATGAAACACCAATAACCACTCCTGCCACCAGTCTGTCAAAGTACAGAAAATTATCCACATTTCCCTCATATCACAGAGTGAGGGCATAGGCATTTTATAAGCATAAAACAATCACCACATATTCAGGGCCATTTATATGTAAGAGATCATATTCACACCAGAATGACTGAAAAGAGTGAGGTATAAAAAGGCAATAATTCACAAAGAGTTCCTTCAAGGAGTCTAATTTGGGTGCGCACACACACAGAGAACAAGAGACGCCCACCAGTTCAAAGAATATTTGTACCATTTCTTTAAAGCCTCAGCCTCTGGTACATTTGCCAGGCTCCTTAACTTCAGAGATAATGAAATTCAAAAAAAAAAAAAAAAAGAAAAAAAAAGAGGGGGGAAAAAAGAAAGCATGTGCTACCTTATCACTTCACTTTTCTTTCTGGAATATTCACATTTCTTCCCATCTTCTTCTAAGTGTTTTAAGGGGCTCTCCCCTATGCTTAAAGACATACAAAAAAGAACTTAAAAAAAGACTATGTAAGAATTTCAGTATGTGAAGATGCAGAAGCTCCCCAGCATTCCTCCTACCACAGACATGCAGAGAGAAGGAAGACCAAGAACTATCCATATATCTTAACAGGTTTGTAATCCTACAGCATTCCTCAAATAAACGAGGCAGGATTTCCCATCTGATACCTTGAATGTTTCATGTAATGCACTTCTAAGGAAACCAATATCTACACAAAGCGAATGATGAAAACAATAGGGTAGTGCACTCCATACACCGTCATTCCCTAAAGATACTACAGATAGCCATGGATATCGTAAACAGGAATCAGCACAGGGGTGCTTATTCAGGGGTATGGTTATGTTGCTGCAAAGTGGAAGGGCTAAACTCACACTGTGCAGCAGCTTGAGGCACCCTAATACTTTCTTCAGAAACCCAGATTTCTGGTTCTCACCTTTCTAAGAAAGCTCGCTGAAACTCCATCACAAATAACCGCAACAAAGAAAAACAGGAAAGAAGTAGAGAGATCATAGATGTGTGCTTATCTCTATGGAGAACACAGTACATGAACCAATAAATGCTCCACTGCAGAGCGATCGTTGCTAAAACCTTGATCTTAAGATGGTATTTTTTTTTGACTTAGAACTCCTACGCTCATTCTGATTGCCTGAAAAATGTCCAACAAATTCCAAAATGTTATAAAATCCTGCACGAATACCAGATGTCCTGTCAGACTGAAAGCTTTTTCCCTATAGCTGGAATTGGAAGCTTTCATGACAATAGTATCTTATAAAACTGACTTCTTGTAGAGAGGACGCAATGCAGTATGTCCTGTTTCATTGTGGAGTAAGGCTTTTACACAACATTTCCCAGTTTTTACAACTTCACTGACAACAACAATTTTAAGTACTTTTTTATCCTTATGTCTAGTTCATTGAGTCATCTGTCATCTGTTACTGAAACCTTGGATTCTTGTGTGTGTCAGCTAAATGTGCAGCTGAACTTCTAAACCGCCATCAGACTATGCTCTGCGTTTCCACCTCTGGCCTGGGCACTGGGCACGTGGGGTGGGGAGCAGGGGCAGAGAAGATCAAGAAAGATTGCCATGCATCTATAGCAGCAGACTACTTAACCACTGCAAATTGCCTCATAGTGGCATAATAGCCAGAACTATTTCCTGAACTCAAATATGTGTAAAAGCTTTAAACTGTCAAAAGTAAGTGAGATTTCCTGTGAACATGAGTAACGCTTACCATTTATTTAGCTAGAAGAGCCGCAATGTTAACCCATCACATGGGCCAAACATTTTCTCGGGCTCCACGGGCTTCGGCAGCTTGCTTTAACCTTGAACATGCTTGGATCTCAAAAAGCATCTTGAAGACATAAGGATAAAGGCAATATAACTTAATCCTTTGCTGTGCCTAGTCTGAGCCAATGTGGAACTACCAAACAGTGCAGACAAGGCTACAGTCTACTTTATATAAGAAGGATAATAGTACAATTAAAATCAGGCTTTACCCAATGGGAAGTAGTCAGAAACTGGGCTTAGTCAATGATAATTAAAGGTGGCTAAAAACAAAGAAATCACTCCAGCTAAAAAGTAACCAGGAGGTAAAATTAGCCAGACTCCATCAACCTTTTTTCTTTGAAAAACAGGAAAGACTGGAAGGACTTCCAGTTTTCACAATGCACTGGCAAGTGGAGACCTTTAGACACATCTGAAAATTAAAGACCAATGGAAGCTCATCTCTAGAAGAAAACTCATCTAACATTTTAAGAAACCCTCTTAGGAGAAAATTCAGTGCACCAGTGGTAGTTGCATCTACAGCATTCTCACAAAGTACAGGCACGCCATACTCATCTGTGCCAGGATCGGCCAATGCTCTTCTACGTGGGCTGTTGAGACATTCTCTTGCCACTTTTAAACTGAAAATGAGCCGTATAAAAAGCAGTTTGTCTAGTACATTGAACGCTTTGGCAAGGCAACAATCAAGAGGCATTTTTCTGTGTATAATGCCCATTAGAAAGGAGGTTAAAAATCTTCTGTAAAGACAAACTTTAATAAGACTTAGACGTTTGTTTTATCTCAACAGGCACAGATACAGACATGCAAGTACCACTTGCCTGATGTTGTAACTGACCTTACAGATTAGCAAGTGACCTAATTGACTAGCAAAACCAAAATAGTGCCAGAACACATAAATATGGACACCAAAAAAACCATACAACATTTTCTGTTTTGCAGTGATAATTCTTTCATGTTAGGTAAGGTTTTAGCCAAGAATATAAACTTACGGGATGGAATGGTCTGGGTGTTATACAGGAATAGAGCTTGGTTAAAATATGGCAGCAATCCAGGAAGAATAAAACATCCCCCTTTTCCTACCGCGATAAGCTGCCTGTTCTATAGGACTGGACCATACCTTGGCATCACTGATCACCTTCATCTAGGTATGGTTACGCACAGCAGTTATCCACAAATCTGTGGCTATTACTCTAGCAACTTTAAATTAAAAACATATCGACAAGTCAGTCGTAAGCACAGTGGTACAAAAGCGGGTGAGCAGTTTTCCTCGAATGTGCATTTCAAATTATGAAAGAAAATGGAGGGAGGACAACTATCATGCAGATGACAGAAAATAAATGCAAAAATACTAGTCACAGAAAGTAAGCACTGTATCTAACCATGGTCTGAGTCTGCCAACCTAGCTGACAAAGTGGTTTCAACGCAGAAACACTGTTGTGCCCACTGCCACCACCACCATAAAGGCTTATTTAGCACTGTTCGGTCCATCACACAACAGAGATGCACACAGTAGATTTGAATGATCTTCTTGGGGTACCAAAAGCAAAGCACTTTTGGCAGCACAGGCCTCAGAGAAAAGCCAGGCTGATGAGCCTGCATGGTTCAGACTGCTGCTGGTCCCCAAGCCTGCTGTGAAACTGCTGTGCCATCCTGCAGTTGGCAGCGTGAACTTGTCTTCCGAAAGACTAATAATAATCTGACAGGATTTTATTAGAAATGGCTGTCAATTCCTACCTGCTTTTCCAGAGACAAAACTCCAAAACCACACTAAATAATTTACGTCTGTGAGGACTGGCAATGAGGGACTGCTTGACTCCCCTCTGTTTAATATTTGTATCTAATTCTAGTTCTGTGTGTTGTATGTAGTGGTTCTTGTTCTTCTCAAACCCTTTTAAGTTCCAAGAACATGTGAACACAAAGTACAAATGGGAATTTGAGAAGCTGAGAGATGCTGAAAAAAAGGCAGAGCACTGAAAGGGAATAGAGCTCCTCTTTCATCCTCAGCCCATAGTGTCAAAAACCTCAATGTTCACTATGCAGTGCGTTGGCTTGCAAGGATTTGTACAATATTTAAAAGAGGGGAAAAAAAAGTACAAGCAAATGGATTAAACTACACAAAAATTATTCTCAGATGGAGCAACCAGATTATCTTCAAGACAGAGGGGAATCCTTGGATATGTCAAAATATATCCAATCAAGACAACAGCCCTCAAACTGCATTAATGGTGACCAGTAGAAGGAGGAACACAGTATCAGTCATTGGCACAATTTAGCTATTACGCAGGAAGCAATAGGACCCAAACTTCAAACAGAAGTTATATAGACAGGTAAGCCTTAATAACAACTTAGCATTAAAGTCATACAAGTGTTTCTGTTAACATCTCGTGTCCCACAATATCTTACCAACTTATGTAGACCTCAGACTTGTTTCGACTTAAATTAGTACAAACTTTGTCCTTGGTTTAAGGAATGACAACCCAAGCATTTTGCAACATTTTTTGATGAGAACTTCACAGCTGAGTTCTGTTCTCCTAGATGAAAGCACACATGCGCTGCTCTTGGCAGAGAAACTGCGCATATGACTCTCATGGCGTATTTCAGCAAAACATTTGAACACTTTCTCTTCTAACAGCTCAGTCAAAACTGCCTCTTTCAAAAGCTACCATAGGCTAGAGTTACCCGGAACAGATTTGCAAACAATCAACACAGGGGCACTGTACCTTCTGTATGGACATCAGGGAGCGTATCGGTGGGATGCTGCACTACAGCGGATCGCCTGTACACCATGTGGATTCTTCCTTTTTCCTCTTCCATTTGCTTTCCTCTTTCCAAAGGCTCAATGAAGTATTCATCCTTATCAGTTCTTATCATTCCAGCCTGGTGAGGAAGAAAGAAAGTGTGCCAATATGTCATTTCAGAGCCTAAAGACCTGGCCTGATGCTTTAAAAACAAGCATCAAGAGGGGCAAAACATAAAACATTCAGCATATTACTGTATTGTAAGACTGAAATTACCGCTGGGTTTCCTTTGCATGGACTTGTTGCCAGAGGTGATATCCCTCTGCACTTTTGGGATGTTCATCTGTCTGAGGCCACTCTCCATAGGCATGAAGATCTTGTATATGTATGAGGTACATCACCCCTTCAAAAACACAGCTAAGACCAAAGTCGTACAGCAGTTTACCATTTGTATGCTATGCACAGGTATTTTGTAACCTAAGCATGGCACACCGTGCACTGCATTCTGCAATGTTCTGCTAATACTTAACCCATATATATTCCAAACCCCTTACGGCTCAGGCCCCTCATTTTATTTCATTAAAATCAGCAGAAACCATATGGTTTCCTACTTAAATGAACACATACTGTTCCATCCTGTAACTATGTAGCTACTGACAGTTCTTCAAAACCCTTTCTCTTTATGCCTTCCGCCTGTAAAAGCTGTGGGACAGGTTTGCAGACAAGGCAGATTTATCCTGGTGATTACCACATTTAAATTCACTGGAGTAAGTCACACCTGTGTAAGTCCAGTTTCAGGGAAGAGACATTCATGCTTAGGAGGAAAAATTTCTTTGCTGGCACTCAAATATAAACCACAGTAAGTAACAGTGAAGGAAATCTGGCAATACACTCAAGGAAACAGTCACTTAAAAAACCTCGCTTATATCTAAGGGCAGCAAGACTAAACTTTTT